ATCTACTAACCAGTTTTATAATGTCCTTTCAGGCACTAGCATGCATTACATTGCATTGTTAGGTTGATTTGGAATAATTTCTTCTTAAAATAATTTGCCAGTTCTCTCTCCTCTCCGAAAGAAATGGTTTCAGAGCATGGGCTCTGTGCCTAATGTCAATTCCATAAGGCTCCTTGTGTGTGTGTGTGTGTGTGTGTGTTTTCCTTCCCCTCCTTCCCTTGACAACTGGACTTTGCCATTAGGAAGATGTGTACCTATAATCAGGCATTTCTTTACTTTTGGGTTATTTGTCACTTCAGACATACAGACTTTTAAGAACAGGCTTGAGTTGGGGGAGGCTAAGTTACATAAACTGTATTCATGGTTAAATATTTGCTTCCAGGGGAAAGGTGAAAAATGCTTTGTACTTTTTCCTTTGGCTTTTTCCTCCAAAAGAGCTTGTCATGCAACAACAAGAAAAAGTGGCCAAAGGCAGAGAAAACTCTTCTCTTTTCCATGTTGGTTTGTTTTTATTGTAAGACAAACCTTTCATGTTTTATTGTTATAAAGCTTAAACCTGGCCTAGAGGTGCCAATCTTTACTGGAAACAGCTGCACAACTGGTGTCCCCTGGTCAGGTGGGACTTTCTTTGAAGCAACATGTTGCCTTTTAAAAGAGAAATGAGCATGTGAGAACTTGAATCTGTAAAACTCATCAGCATTCCGCTATTGTTTATCTCTTCAGAAACTGAGATAGCTAGCTTTAAGTAAAACCTCACAATTAATCATTCTGTGGGTCTTTTTTTCTAAGAGAATAGTCTTGTGTCTTAAAAATATAGAAAAGGGGATGTTTCATTGTATGCTGAAAAATCACTCTTAAGAATTGAGGCAGTGGCCTTTCCCTTTAACCAAGACCACAGGGCACATACTTTTATATCTCTTTTTGGCTGGTTTGAATTGTGATTTTGAGCTCAGATTTGTACTTGCAGATAAATGCCTTTAGTAGGAGCAAAACTGAGTGGTTGGATATACATCTGAATTCTAAAGATGAAAGATTTGTGCTTTTATTGATTGATGTTGAAGTGTTTCTCATATTTTTGATTGAGCGATACTAGTAGCAGTGGACTTAGCATCACCACTCTTGGTCTGCTGCTAGGAAAAGTTGAGCATTGGAGAGCTTTCTTTCCTTGGGGGAAAATAGAAGAGACAGGCATGGAGTCAGAAGGACCAGAAAAATGCTGAAATATTTTCCTTTTGGGCTTTTGATTTCTTTGCCAAAAAATTGCCTCCAGATGGAGAAGAGCAAAAGCTCTGATTGTAAGCCATTATGTTTTTACTGGCCTGCCTCCTCATCCCGTTGCCTGGTTTGGAATCTGTAAGCCAGTCCAAATCCTTTACCTCATTTTCTAGTACCAATTTACTGTCTTACTCATCTTCCAGCTGCATGAGATGAGGCAAATCGCCTCAGAATTGAACCCTCTGCCATTTTATAAACCAAGCAATGGCAGATTCTTGGCCACGGAGGATCAGTAATCAGTGGCTCCCATTTCTCTGAAGTTCTTGAGTCACGCCTACCAGGTAAACTTGTATCTGTGATATGCTTGGCAGGACTAATCTAAGAATTGAAGCAAGCCCATTTGGCTTTGTGTAGACTTGTTACTTCCAAGGTTGCCTAACGTTCCGGCTGTTGCATGTGGAGTGCAGTTTGTGTTTTGACCATATCTGGCTTCACTGGCAACAGAAGTCTGAACACTACAATTTCCCTTGGGCAGTGGGATTGTTGGGGTTAAACTGGAGGGAAGTACAGTGTCTGCACATAGTAAGTACGGTAGCATTGTAGTCTGGCTGACTTGAACCCACTTCACTGCTCTCCATTTAATGAAAAGATTAGCCTTGGGAGTGGTTTTCTGTTTCTGGGAGAAGGGATAATACCATTTCAGCTTATTTGATTTAAACAGAAATTTTTTGTTGTTATTGGGGGAGGGATATTGGGTACTACTCATAGGTGATATTAAAATGTTAGTTCCTTTTAGTTTTCATTATGGAAATGGAAAGTGGGATGACATAAGTAGTACTGCATTTTCAAGTTGGGCACCAAAACAGGCATAACACATGGATAGGGCAAAGTAATGGTGTTTCATTAAAATTCGAATTTGTGTAGGGTGCAGTCGTATATACACAGATACATGTAATCATGGGTTCCGTGAGTCTGGTGTTCTGAGAAATGCATCGCCAGGTGATTTCATCATGGTGTGAACATCACAGAGGAACTCACAGCGATGTAAATGGTTCTGCCTGCTGCACACCAGGCTGTGCCGTGTGGCCTGTCATCTCTGGGTACAGACGGTGCAGGTATCACTGTGCTGGGTACTGTGGGCAGTTTGTAATGCAGTGGCAAGTATTTGTGTATCCAAACACAGAACAACTACAATAAATATATGGTATAAAATGTGCAGAGGGGTACACTGGATATAGGGCACTTCCCAGGAGGGAGCCAGCAGGCCTGGAAGTTCTCTGGATGAGCCAGAGAGTGGGTACAGAGTGAGGGCTGGGGCGCTGCGGTACAGCACGGTGGGTTTCATATATACTGTGCTACTGTAAATTTACTTTAAAAATTACTTTCTTTCCTTATTGGTAGTAACCTTAGCTTATTTTAACTTTTTGACTCTTACAGTTAAACTTAGTGTAAAACACCTATTGTATAGCTGTACAAAAAAGTATTTACTTTGTATCTTTATTCTATAAGCTTTTTCTATTTAAAAAAAATTTTTTAAATACCTTAAAACTAGAACACACACATACACATTAGCCTGGGGCCTACCCAGGGTCGGCAGCGTCAATCCCTGGCTTCTCCTGCACGCCTTGCCCGCTGGAAGGTCCTCAGGCACAGTGAAGCACAGGCCTCTTGTGGACTCTTCTTGCGGGACCTGCTAAGGCTCTTAAGCCAGGGACACTCTTTTCAGAAACGTGTCCGTGGGGGTTTGCTCACTTAGGTTCGGTTTGGGTTTGGTTTTGGTTTTTTTTCTCCTCACTGTAAATTTGCTTGTAAGCAGATAATGCACCATGAACATTCATTCCCTTTTGTTAATAATGAAAACCTTTTGGTGTTAAAGTCCGTATTTTCAAACTTGTTAAGGTACTTGTTGAGGTCTGCAAAAGCTTCTGCCAGGCTCTTCACTGTGGATCTTCTTGGATATCCTGTCTCCTGAAATTTTCTTTTCTCCTGGCTCTTCAGTTGTCTGTTCCTGTTTTAGTTCCATTGTAATTTTCTGGTGCCACCATTGTAGAAGTGGTCTGTTTTTGACAAAAATGTTATTTGTCACAAAAATATACTGGTACAGGAAGAAACAATCATGGCTACATGTGTATGGTAGGAGAAAGTATCAGAAATATTTCTGTGTAAATAGCATGAATACTTTCTTCAGTTGGATTGTATAGAGGTACAAAAAGAATTACTGGGATAAAAAAAAAGACAAAGATTAGCTTGCTCACTCGTGGTGAAGTTGTCTGTGTTTGGAGCAGAAAGACTACCCTGGCTAACTGAGAAGTACTTCGCATATTTAAACTATACTTCCCTGAAATCATAGTTAGAGGAGAAATTCTTGGAATTTTAGCAGCACAAATTGGAAAATTATAACAAGCCAGAATCAGGGCCTTTATGTGGTGCCCTATTGTGAAGAGTCAGGCTCTGTTGGACTGTGCAGTACGTAGTAAAGAGCATCAGAAACAAAATCGAAGACAATTGCCTGCTAGTCTGAAAAATCAAAATAGTCAGATTTTGGCTCTCCTCTTTGGCCTGTATTACTTTTTTGTTTTATTGAGAATGGGACATGTATCAGTATAGTATATGAAGTAATTTTTTGAAAACAATTTTACTATACTTTGTGAAAAAAATAGAGCTAGCACTCAAATCTATGCACACAGCATTATTGAGGCTAAATTTATTAAACACACGCATTGAATTTTTTCTTTTTTAAGACGAGTAAGAAAATAATAGTGCAAGTAATGTATAAAATCATGAAGTTGGCATCAGCATGGCCAAAGCTTGACAAATGCTGGTAAAAATGAGGATTTGAGTCTCTTTTAACCTTTCCCCAAGTTTAGATTCCTGTGACAACTGATTTAAAAAGCAGTATTAGTGGTGCTGGGGATATAACTCAGTGGTGGAGCGCTTAACCTAGCATATGTGAGGCCCTGGGATGGATTCCCAGAATCCCCACCCCTGCAGACCACTGAAACAGGCTCTCGTTTCTTATTTATTTATTTATTTAGTTAGTTAGTTAGTTAGTTAGTTAGTTTCTTATTTACTTATTTAGTTAGTTAGTTTGCTTGCTTGCTTTTTGAGACAGGGTCTCGCTATGCAGTCAGGGTGGCCTCAAACTCATGGTGATCCTCCTGTCTCAGCCTTCCCAGTGCTGGGATTATAGCATGTGCCACCACACCCAGCTCTCCTTTACTTTAAAGGATAGTGGTTAAGGATACTGTGTAAGTGCATGAGAGGCTCAATCCCCACCTTGGGGTCTTGTGGGTGGGCTTCCCAGTTGGGGCACTGTGACGTGCGTCCTAGTACAGCTTTGGGAACTTGTATGGATTGTGCCTTTGTATCTTCCTCAGAAATGGTAGACATTACTCAGAATGCAGAAGTGACAAGGGGAGTGTCCCGTCAGCACAGTGTCTGTGGCGCTTTGGTTGTCGCTCCCCTGTGAAGTAGGTAGGAGGCTGCATGCTTGCTGTACATAGGGTCAAGAACAATCTCTTGGCTTGTTCCCAAGCTCACACCCTCGTGGGCTGCAGCTTGTCTAGACAGAATGTTGGGGATAAAGTTTTTATTTCCTATTGTGGCCGGGAGATCAAAGACATCTATAAACTCTCTGACCTTTCATGGTTAAAAATGAGAAAATCAACTCTCAAATTATGAAAAGAGCAACCAGTTTTATGCTGTTCACGTTTAGGAAATGTTAATGTTATCTTTGTCAGATCACTATTATATAATTTAACATATTTTGTTCTCTCTTTGTGTAGGTACTGGTTTTGGATTAGGAGTTGTTTTCTCTCTTACCTTCTTTAAAAGTAAGTGTGACTGTTACTAATTTTTCAAAATAGTGTCCACCATGCGTGGTGGGGGTGGTCAAGGGCGGTGTACCCTATGGCTGTCAACCTGCCCACTCAACCCCTAGGCCAACAAAGAGCATGGAGTCCATTGTGGTCAGAATGGGCTGGACATCTCCAGCATTCCCCCGGGCACTGAGTCAGGGTGCCTGATATCTTAAATATGATATCACTTGAAAAGCCTGAGCTTCGTGCCAGTGAGTCATTTGGCCAAATCTCCATGCTCAGATATTTGTAATTAATTTTTTTCTAAAGGAACTTGAAAATGAGAGTCTTGCTGGTAATAAAAACAAATGGAGCAGAAATGCACATTCTCTTGGCCAAAAATTCTAAGCAAAGGACAGGCAGCATCCCTTTCATTTTGTGGAAGAACATCTGAAGTTTGGATATTGAACAAAAGCCAAAGGGCTCACTTTGACCCTCTTCCGTGAAAGACTAGCAGTTGCTACTTAACTAGAAAATCATAATTAATACACATGGCTGATGTGAAATAATCACAGATAGACTGGTTTACATGAAAACCCTATAATTTACTACAACTGAAGTATGTAAGTATTGGTGAGATTCTTTCCTGCTTTTATAACTAAGCACCATACTAAAAGGATTGTTACTTCTTATACAGTTAATAAATCAAACTAGCTGGGTTTGGTGGTGCATGCCTATAATCCCAGCACTTGGGAAGCTGAGGCAGGAGGATTGCCATGAGTTTAAGGCCAGAGTAGGCTTCATAGTAAGTTCAAGTCCAAGAAGAAAGAAGGAGCGGGGAGGGGAGGAGCAGATGATTAGAATTGATAGAAAAAAATGTATCTGTTGTTTTCATAGCTGGAGGAATGTCTCAAACCTAGCAGTATAGGTACTTAGTAAATATTTGTTAAATTAATTAGTTTAATGATAACCCCCTTTTGTGGGGAGACATTGATGAAACATTGACAGCAGTATGTGGTATTGATATGATGTCTGCTGAATATTTTTTTGAACCCTAAGCTAATGTATATAAGCGTTGGGAGGCTTTACCTTCCTGTAATGGTTCCCTGTTGGAATTTTCCTTTTTCTACTCAACAGGAAGAATGTGGCCCTTAGCCTTTGGTTCTGGCATGGGACTGGGGATGGCCTACTCCAACTGTCAGCATGATTTCCAGGCCCCATATCTTCTACATGGAAAATATGTCAAAGTATGTACAGAATTGATATTTCTCTTTCTTGCAGAAGAAAAAACAGTTTCTCCTGAGGCCCTGAAGAATTGTTTAGAATGTGTATGAGTTGTAAACTCTGTTGTTGTGATACTGCTGAGATCCCAATTTCTCTTTGGCCTGTAATGATGGTGACACTGGTTTGGTGCTAAAGGGGCTCCCCTGAGCCTTCCAGGCGCATACTGTGTTCAGATGTGTATCTGCATGTTAGCTGACTGGAACTGAAGTTACTGCCAGTGGTCAGAGTATTAACTATCTGTAAGTAGCATTTTTTGCTTAAGATCACAGGGTCTGTAAGCATCTCACACATATGACCTAAACTTAAACACTTCTGGGATTCTGCCATTATTCTGCTTTTTTTATTGAAGAAAGCAGGCTTGACTGTATTATATGAGTCTGCCAAAGTCCTCGTCTATAGATGGATTTTAATCATACCAGTGAGCTGGGAAAGAAACAAGTGTAGCTTCATAAAATTCCCATGTGCAGCAGCTTTTTTTTTTTTTTCCTTTCTTTACATTATTGACTACAGTGGGGCTTACGGGACAGAAGTGGGAGACTCTGTGCTCATTTTTGTATCCTGAGGGTCTGAAACAAAGTAAGCACTGAAGTAAATGTAACAGGAGTGAGTGAAGTAGGTTGTATATTCCATTAGGTGTAAGCCCTGTAGGCTTTGGGCTTGCTAAGGCATAACCTTTACAGCAGTCTAACCTCCAGTGAAGAACTATGCAGCACCACATGCATGGAATCCTCCAGTCTGCAGCGGTCCCTTGGGCTTACATCACTGTGATGGGGGCAGCATCGGCGCCAGGAGACCCCCCACTTGCTTCCTCTGGTCTGGAGTTACTTCACTTCCAAGCTTCCATTTTCCATCCATTGATATAAGGGCAATCATTTCTCCCTATAGAGATTTTGTTCATTTTGTTTGGAGTGTGAGGGTGCTGGAGATTGAGCCCAGGCCCTTGTGCATGCTAAGCACATGCTCTACTGCTGAGCTGTACCCCTAGCCCCACTATAGGGTGGTGTGAGGATTAAATGTGCAAATGTTTTTTAAGCAATGAGATTATATATATATAGAGAGAGAGATAGAAATATTGGTTGTTATAGTTGAAGCCAACCAAGAAAGGGTGATTGATTTGTCCATTGTTCTACCATAATAACAAGTAGAGCGGAAAATGTGGCACAAACGCGTGCCCTAATTTGTTGAGCGCTATAGCCAGAGTCACAAGATCTCAAGTAGTAGTTCTCCCCACCCACTCCATGTGTCGGGGTGGGGAAAGGCCTGTTAGTGAACCAGCTCAGTGCCAAAGCAAGGGCGAGGTCTCCAGAGGGCTAGTGCATGAGGAGCTGATGACACGCCGTTCCCCTCCCTGTCTCTTCGCTCTCCTGGTAGCAGCGCTGAGTCTGGAGAACAGATAGGAGCAGGGACCGTCAGGTCTTTCATTGTTCAAAATGTTTCCATCGTTCCAAACTGAAATGTCATGAGTAACGGCTCAGAGAGATTGTATGCATGCTGTGTTTAATAGTTGGGAGTTACTGTGGAAAATACTGTTATATATTTTACAGCCTGCTGTGTGTTACTCCAGAATGGCCTTGTAACTCATCTGAACTTGAGTCTGTGCCCTGACATTGTCATTCCCGCCTCTGCAAAGTGGCGCAAAATCCATCTTGGGGCTTATTCGGCATAGTCGTGTTATAACTGCTTGTTGAGTGCCTACTGTGCCCCTCGGGCCATCCTAGGGCTTTATCTTCATATTCTTTCTCTCAACACTGCCCAGTGGATTATGAGACCGATATAATGATCCTCATTCCATGGAGCAGAGAACAGAATCTCAGTGAGGCTAAGAACGTGCCAGAGATCATGTTGTCAGTAGGCTGTTTGCTTCAAACGGTGCTGTTTGTGCTCAGCTGTGAGCCCTTCATCAGTGATGGCGAAGCTTTTAGAGCTCTCAGTGATACAAACAGCCCACTGTGACACATGTGCCACAGGTTCACCACCACTGCCCTGGATGGATTTTAGGGGTACAGGTTGCCAGGGAATGATCACCTCATCCTGCTTCACTCCTTTCCTGGTCTTCTCTGAGATGGGGTAGCACTCCTGTGAATCTGGAGTGTATGCCTGTGGCCGCCGGAGACACTGAAGCAGCGGCATGGTCCTGTTTGGGTCCTGTTGGTCCCCTGGGCATCACTTAGAGCCGCAGTTTGGAGTTGTCCCAGTGCTCCTGCACCATCCTGACCCGAGTGTCCTCGCTTCACAGGAGCAGGAGCAGTGACCTACTCCGGCCGAGAACACCCAGTGGGAGGAAGAGAGGTCCTGTTTACTCCTCAGGAGTACGGAAGCGCCCTGGAGTGTGCGGACGCTCTTCTGTAGCAGTGTTAGCAGTAATGCTTTAAACTCCAGCACACTGTGTATGTATTTGAAACCAAGTCTGTTTCTTGTTTTGTATTCTTTCTCTGGAAATTGTCAGGAGGTAATCTTAAAAGAAATAAATTTACGAAGGAAGTCCAGTGCACGGCATTCGTTTCTTTGCCCCTAGTCTGAGCTTCAGGAGGCTCCATTGGTAGCACCTGGTTGCGGCTGCCGAGCTCTTCCGCAGCCATAGCCGGCACGCACTCTTCGCCATCCCCGAGCGTGGTTCCCAGAACTGTTTGTCTGCAGAAGATGGAGGCTGCCGATGGGGAGCAACTCTTCAGGCCTGCTGCTGCTTCTCACTAGCAGACCCGGCAGGGCATGGCTCAGTTGTGCCTGCGACACTGAGGTCAAGCAGCTGTTGTATTACAGGGACTCGAACCTGACTGGCTGGCTCCCTGCATTGATTGCAAGCTGCATAGCTTCGTGGAGCTTGGTGTGGTCCAAGCTTCAGCCCCAGGGGTTTTCTCCTGGGCAGCAGAGAGCACGGTAGGGGCCTGCCCACCCAGCTGGTAGGCCACAGTTGGGGTTAGCTTTATTGTCATGTAGCACCCAGGTCTAGGTTTGAGGACAAAGAGACTGTGTCTAGTACATCTCTGTGAGTTTGTTCTTATATTTTCACTTGACGTGTGGGTGGGGCATAAAGAGTATACTAGTAATTTCTTCTCATAATGTGTAGAACCCCAGAGTTCAGATTTTTGTGTTTATTTTTTCCCCTCATAATAAAAGTAAGATGGGCCAGGCGTGGTGCTGCATGTCTGAAGTCCCAGGACTTGGAAGGCTGATGCAGGAGGATTGCTGTGAGTTTAAGACCAACCTAAACTACATAGCAGAGACTCTGTCTCAAAAAAAGTAAGATTAGGCAGAGTTTGATCCCATTGCCTTTTTTCTTATAAATGTTAATTGGGCACTTTCTATGCTAGGGACTATTATAGGTAGAAGAGACAAGTGAATAGAATACATTGGCTCCTGCTGCTTAAGAATGATAGAAAGACAGACATCCAGACACTTGTGACTCTGAAAGTGAATTATTTCAATAGGGAAGCAGGCTGTGGAGAGGAGGTACAGAGAAAACAGGGAGAAGGTGCAACCAGGCTTCCATAGAACAGCCGTGCAGAGGGCGGAGCGGGGAAGAGAAGGAAAGTGGCTCTGTGAAGATTCAGAATCACGGGAGTACACGTCATATCTGGGAAAGAAGTAATTCATGTAGCAGGAGTGTACAGGGCGAGGGAGAAGTGTGGAGGGGTGGGCAGGGTATCCACCGAGGGGCATCTGTACATCGATTAGAAATTAGAGCCTGTGCTGTGACGAGCACATCCCCTCCCTCCCTCCACCCACTCCCCTTTCCTGAAGCATCTGCCAGGCTCTGGGCCTGGATAGGCAGTAGTGGCTCCCTGCCGAAGACGGGCTGAGCCCAGCATTGTGAAGTCAAGACCATGGCCTGCCACAGCCATTCAGCTGTTTTCATGTGGCCCTCTTCCTTCCATAAGCAGAGCTGCCTATATAATTAAAAGAAAACCACGTGACCTGGTTCATCTCTTCTATATATATATTTTTTCTATATTTGTTTTAAAAGTCAGGATTTGGGTATGTAGAGTGGTAGAGTGGTGGAGCACTTGGCTAGCATGTGCCAGGCCCTGGGTTTGATGCCTCGGTTCCACACACACGCACGCACACACACATGCGCACACACACACGCTGGTATTCATTCCGTCTTCATTTCCACCCGTCTTTCCCATGTTTGCTTTAAGAGTTAGTATTCTTCCCACGCTCCACCTCCAATTTTTCCATCTTCATTTAGGTAGAGATGAGTAACAAATCCCCATCCAAAAAAGAGCGTGCTCACAAATTTTCTAAATGCATCAGAACAATAAGGTAGTCAGGGACATTGGCTTCAAACTTCTCTATCTTGTCAGTTGCTAGGTTTTAAGGGGCCAGTTTGAATGGATCCCATTGCCCACACCTTTGAAGCAATACTAACTTGCCTTGAGGAACGGTCAGAGTCCGTGAAGGAACAGTTTTGGGCAAAAGCCAAAGAAGGAAGCAAGCACTGGCTGTTTGTTTTAGTCCCAGAGTACTTCGTATGCCTGCCTTGGAGGCCTCAGCAAAGACTGGCCGGAAGCACAATGCTTGATCTTGTCCCTACTCTGCCTCCTCAAATCAGCCTTCAGAAAGCTCCAACTTGTTGCCAAAGGCAACTTGAAGTTTTATTAGAAATTCAAGTCCTCCGGGGCCCTGTTCCCTTGTGGGATTGTAAAACTTTGTGACTTTGCCTCTTATCTGCCCTTCTGGAAAGTTCATGGGTTTGGGGAGAGAGTGCTCAGAACCCAGCTGGGCACAAGATACTAGGACAAAGCTGTGGCGCCCCAAAAGTGGCCTCCTCTGCCAACATCCATAAATACATACAGTCCGAGCTTGACACTGTATAATTTGGCCCCAAACAATATGTATTTTGAACTCATTTAGGTGAATGATTTTGGCAATCCAAGGACCCACTGGGGAGACCTCATCAGGCACACTTGCCTCGTGCAGAAGCACCCCTTTGTTCTGAGAAATGGCCTCAGACGCACTCTGCTGAGCTGTCTCCTTTAGTGAGTGTCATCCTCTCCCACCAGTTTCAAGAGATTCCAGAATGCAGTCTTGAAATCCTGCTTGTAAGAAATTGAGAGAATGGCAGTGAAGATGACTGTGTAGTTTTGCTATTTTTCCCAAACCTCACTGTTTAATTTTTTTTTTTATGTAATCAAGCCATAATTGTGTTTTCCTTGTCATGGTTCGATCCGATGGTATTGTTGGAAGGACTATTTTTGAACCTGTCCGCATGAATGCTGCAGAGTGTTTCCACAGCGATGTATTCCAGGGAGCTAGGACAGTTTTCATCCTGAATGGTCCTGAGACACAAATGGTTTCCTGTTGCATGCTTTATAATTACATAAATACAAAGCAGGGGAAGGGAGAAAGTGGAAATTCTAAGTACCGAAAGGAATGTTAAATTTAGAATAATAAGCTCATCTGGAAGCCATCACCACTTTTTCCTTTCCGTGTGCTGCAAGCGCCACTCACCCTGGACACCGAAGGATGGTGTTAGAGTGAGGAGGACTGGAGCAAGTGTGGGTCAGTGATCACCGTTACGGCGGTGAAGGACCCGGCAGGGGCAGCGGGGAGGAGTGTAGACCGGAAGTTAGGCCCCCGCTCCGAGCAACTGTCCCATTGCTTACTTGTCAGGGGACCTTGTGGGACGTTCTTAATCTTCAAACACCAGACTCCTCGTTTGTAAAGGAAAACCATTTCTACCCTATAAGCTCCAAGGGCCAAATATATGTGCTACCACCTGTATAAAATGAGGTCACTGGGGCTGGGGATGTAGGTCAGTGGTAGAGTGCTTGCCTGGCATGCACAAAGCCTGGGGCTTGATCCCAAGCACTGCAGAATAAAAAGGTGGTTGTTATTGGTATTAAAATACAGAGCACAGGATACTGTTGGTAGGTAGCATTGTTTCAGAACAGAAAGAGCATAATGGCCGGTAGGGTCAAAATCAGCAAGATCCAAGGGAGGGAATGTATTTTAAGTGATTTTGTCCCCACTCCCTACTTCCACCTCATCGGCTTTGAGAAAGTTCCCGCTTGTCTCCAAAGGCACACATTCTGTTCTTTTAAGTTTCTTTAGAAATTCAAGTCCTCCAAGGCCCATTTCCCTTGTGGGATTGTGAAACTGTGGACTTTGCTTCTTGTGTCCCCTTCTGGAACAAACTTCAGAGTTATTAGAAAACACTCCTCCGTTTTCATAGGTAGCTTTTAGTCTCACTAATTTTCGCTCTGTTAACAGGGATGCCACTGTAGCTTCTTGCCTTCTGAAGCTTCACACTAACTTGAAAAAAAAATAATTTATATGCTGAGCACATGGGCTCAGTGCTAAGCTAGGAGGAAAAAGATGCTGAAAAAATAGAGTGGACTTTGAGGACTTGGGAACTTCTGTCTCAGTAGGAAACAGGACTGAGTACTTGTAACCAGGATAATTAGTCTCAGTTGTTTGATCCTCACTTGATGGACTCAGAGCCAGAAGGTGTAGCTGGGGATGAGATGTCAAGAATTGGTGGGGCAGCTAGGCATGGTGGCGCACGCCTATAACCCAGCATGCAGGAGGCTGAGGCAGGAGGATCACCTTGAGTTCGAGGCCAGCCTAGGTTACATAGTGAGTTTAAAATCAGCCTGAACTACATAGTGAGATCCTGTCTCAGAACATCAAAACAACAAAAAAACCCAACAAAAGCCACTAAATGCAAATGAGTAATAGCAATTTAAAAATCAACCACCATTCTTTTTTTTTTTTTCTTTTTCTTTTTATTGAGGTTATTGGTACAATCTAGGTATACAATACAATTACATTCATCATTGGGATTCTGTACCTTTACATAATAGGTCTTGATTCTCATTTTTCCCCTTGTCCCTGCCCTCCCTTCACCCCCTCCTCCCCTCCCCATTTACAAACACTTTATTTCCATTTTTTCAGTTTCTCATATTTTTTCCTCTCCCTTATTACCTTTCCCCCACCCTTCCCACTTTCCCTACACCTTTAGCCCTTTACTTCTATTTCACATTATTAATTATCTCATTAGGATCCTGTGTACTACTGTAGTTTTTCCACACCAAAGAAACTATTCGGTATTTCAGTTAAAGAAATCTCTGTATGAACATTAAAAATAGGGAATCCTAAAATAAAACTAAAAAGGAAAGTAAAAGAGAAAAGGCAATGATGTAACATCAAAATAATCCTTAATTCTGGAGATGAAAATGGTCCCTGAACATATTTAAATTGCTTCTCGCTCTTATAGTCTTATCTTATTCTTTTTTTCATTATTTAGAGAATACTTTATTAGTTTCTGTAATCAAACCCACGTAGATATGACCTTACATATTTAGTACGATGTGTTACCCCTGTACACATGGAAAAAAATAAAAATAAAAATAAAAATAAATTAACATTTCTAGACCAATATGGTTGTCCATTTCTGTACAATGCCAAGTCAACACAGTAAATTGGGATGACTTTTTCCAAAGTTGGCAGCACCATTAAAGTTTCCCAAAATTCAATTT